ATTTTATCCATTTCCGGATTTTAACAGGCAAGAGATTTTTCAAAACCGTCTTACCCTGTCTTGGTAAGATTTGACAGTTCTGCTTATCCATTTCCGGATACCGTGTATTTGTCAGTAGTTGAGGTATGGGCAGTTCCTTGCCCAGAGGCCAGTTTTGTCAAGAAGACAAGCTCCAAGTGGAGTGTCTTTGGTGCTCAACAATCTCTCGGGAATAGGTCGGTATTGCCAGGAGTGATTGTGTCACACTACACAGAACTCTAAGATTAAATTAAATGCCATTTTCTACAGCTCTTCGAAGAGGTTGAAGACTATTTATATATAATCTCTATGTATCTAAAGAACCTGATTAGTCTAACCATAAATATGACAGACATAGATGACTATTGATCTACAATTCTTAACATGTATCTAACTTAAAGACTAAGAGAATAAACAATTGTGCAATAATTGAGGACAATGACCTCCAAATGTAAACAATAAATATCAATACATAAACAATATATGAGTATCTTAATCAGATACACTGATTAAATGTACACTGCAATATGGTATACATATATCAATACAATATATATCAATACATAAAAATGTTTTAAACAGGTAGAAGCATGCATACATACAATATTCAATATAATTTAACTTTGTATCCATATACAAAAATCTATGCCGATGTAATTATCTATAAATAATAACTCACAAATACCATTATTATCTATCCAATTTTCCCTCTTTTTTTTTTCAAAAAGGTCCCTGAGCTTATAAAATTCCTTTCCCAACTTTCAACCGTATACTAATTATAATCAATCCCTAAATATTGTTCCTAAACCTGAGGATAAACTTTGCTGAGAGAGGAGTCATCGTCCTCTAGAATTACTTCCAGCTGTCATGGGGGTGAGGTTCTTTCTGGGGGATCCTGTGAAAGTAAAATGATGGTTAAATTTCAAGATCAATGTCTTTTAAAATTGCAAATAGTCTCTGAGTATTTTGTGGAGGTCTGGCCAGAATGTTGTACAAGATGTGCACCATTTCAGCTAACCAAGTTGGAATCATCTGTGCAGCTGATACCCAAAACAGGACTTGTAGTAGCACTATCAGTATCATGAGGTCATATCAACCGAGTGGAGTTGTTGTTATGTTGTTATGGGAGTCCCATCTTCTTCCTGGAAACTTCAAATGTCAGTGCAGAAAAAACTCATTGTTCATTGTGGAAAACAAACATTAATTATATAGACATATACAAACATATATTCAATGAAAGGTATGATAGACATATTCAATGAAAAGTATGATAGATATGAAGAAAAACAAAGATTTTTTCTAAACTCATATTTCTTTTTGTCTCATATCATGGCTCTTGACATAAGACAGAAACTCCAGAAACTCTGGGTTTTTCTCCTAACAACAGGCTTGGAATTAGAGAGGGACCGAGCCAAGAGTCCAACTCCAAAACCAGCTCTATAAATTCAGAAATATGATTTAGTATATTCTAGAGCTTCATACTCACAGAACCTATTCGGTTTTCTTGCTAATCCATATTGGGTAGTTATTTTTCCATCTGTCAGTATTCAAACATCCAGGGTCCTTTGAATTTTTCAAAGACGAGTGTTTTCCTGTGGAGACAAGAACAGAACCCTGCCCCCATTTTATGTTTTTCTTACCACCTGTATGATCATCATCATTGTAGATGCTGTCATTTCTCCTTTCCAAGAGGTTTCTTCTCTTCAAATCTAACCTTTATTAATTTTGATGGTATCCACAATTTTTCTTCTCCTGTGGAAACAAGAGCAAAACCCCTTCCCCAACGTAGCACATCTCCTGGCTTCCATTGAGAGGTCAGCACATCCTTGATATAAACCGGTTGATTTAGTTCAGCAGACTTTTCCATTATCTAGTGTCTTTCTGCCGCTGT